GTTCGAGACCCGCCTGGGCAGCGAGACCTCATCTCTACAATAAATCAAAAAATCATCTGGACGTGGTAGCGCATGCCTGTAATTCCGGCTACTTGGAAGGTTGAGGTGGAAGGATCGCCAGAGCCCAGCAGGTCGAGGCTTGCGGTGGTTGGGAGCGACCACTGCACCCCAGTCTGGGCGACAGAGTGAGACTCCAACTCAAAAAAAAAAAATCAAGGATGACAACAGACAGAACCAAATGAATAAAAACTAAAAGAAAATTAATACAATAAAAACAGAACCACAAATAATCCAACTACTGGAGTTGTCAAATACTTTCATATACCTGTGAAGAAATGAAAATTTTTACCAAAGAACTGGATTCTAATAAAAGGAATCTGATAAAAAGCAATCATCAAAGTAAATAGATGGGTTTAACACCCCAACAGACACAGCAAAGAAAGAAAGTTCAGTCTAACATACGTGTAACAGGAGCCCCAGTGAGAGAAGAGACAGAATAGGGCAGAAACTATATTTGAAAAGATATGACCCAAGATTTCTCCAAAACAGACAAAAGACATCAAGTAAAAAATTCTAGAAGCTCTACAAATAACCTGGAGAGATACAAAGAAAATCACATCTAGGTACATCAGAGTCAAGCCCCTGAAACCAGAGACAAAGATATTTCCTTTTTTTTTTTCCCCTGTAGAAATGAGGTCTCATTATGTTGCCCAGACTGGTCTCAAAATCCTGGACTCAAACAGTGCTTCTGCCTTGGCCTCCCAAAGTGCTGGGATTATAGGTGGGAGCTAATGCACCTAGCCTGACAAAGATGTTTCTTAAAAGCAGGTACTCACACCTATTATCCCAGTACTTTGGAAGGCCCAGGCAAGAGGACTGCTTGAGCCCAGTTCAAGGTCAGCCTGAGCAACATAGTGAGATTCCATCTATACAAAAAAACTAGCTGGGCATGGTGATGCACACCCATAGTCCCAGCTACTAGGGAAACTAAAGTCAAAGGATCGCTTGAGCCCAAGAGGTCGAGGCTGAAGTAAGCTATGATTGTGCCCCTGCACTTCAGCCAAGGTGATAGAGTGAGACCCCAACTCAAGAAAAAAAAAAAAGAAAAACAGAATAATAAAGACTTGGTTACTCTAAGATGTGGTAAGAAAGGAGGAGGAAAAAACAAATAGAGCAAGTTTTTACTATTTTTTAATACAGACAGAAGATAGAATTATATATCAATAATAGCATTCAATGTAATTATTTATTTAGAGACAGGGTCTCACTCTATCCCCTTCCCAGATAACATGATAGTCGATTCACACTTTTTTGAGTCAGGATCTCACTCTGTTACCCAGACAGGAGTGCAGTGGCATGATCACAACTCATGGCAGCCTCGACCTCCTAGGCTGAAGGCAGGAGAAGGAGGAATGAGCTTGCATGTCCCAAACAAGTACCTCCTGTGTCCAGCTCTAGGCCTAGGGAATTGCTCCCACCCATGAGCTGGTGAGGTGACAGGAGGATCCTAGGGGGCCTCTCCTAGAGTGGGGACCACATCCCCCACAATATGGATTCACTGTATCAGACCTTCACAAGTCCCACTGACGGCCACAGGGCAGTAGATGGGGTAGAAGGTGCTGTCACCTCCTGACTAAGAGGGGCAAGTCCCAGAAGATGCTAGGAGCCCCCAGAGTGGGCTGGGATGGTAGGCACATCAAACACATGGCCAGCCCTGAGCAAGGGGAAGAGTGCTAGGCTCTATATGCCCTCTGAGGGGTAGGTTTCCAAGGAAGGAAGGGGGACTCCAGGGAGAACTGAAGCAACTCATAAGCCTAGCTGGCCAGCTGAGGCCACACAAGAAGGCCAGGACAGCGGACTACTACAAAGTCACACCAGGTCAGTAGGGAAAGGGGCAGGGACAGAGAAACAAGAGAATCTGAGACGGACCTGGAGGCTCGGGCCGGAAGGTCCAGGGCACGGGGTCACCAACCTGAGGAGGGGACAGAGAGAAACCTGCTAGGCCTATCCCAGGCCCCTTCCCCCCAAGCGCTGCCAAGCCAGGGGAGCATGAGATGAGAGCCGTGGCCACCTGACACCACACCAAAATCATATGAACACGCTGAGGAAGCCCAGTCGGGCCACCAGCTGGCCACCATGGCAGAGGGCAGGAGCGTGGGCCTTATGTGCACCCAGTCCTGCACCTCACTGTCCTGTCTTCAGCAGCCACACAAGGTATAGCAATGTGCCCAGAGCCAGTGGCCTACCACGCCCAGCAACAGTTCTTCCCATATTCAGAGCTGTGCAACCACAGAAGGCAGGGGACACTGGGTTGTTCCCACCTCCTGTTTTCGTGGACAATGCTGCAGTGGACACCCGTGTCCAAGATCTAGAGTGGATAATTTCCATTTCTGCTGGGCTGTGCAAATGACTGAAGCTAACACTGGGAGAGATGTTCTCCACGGCAGCTGTGCCATTCTCTTGCACTGACCAAGGCATAGCCCCGCACTGCACACCCAGAGGCAGACTGGTCAGCCCTGGGACCCTGTCTGTCTTGCTCATCAGGAAAGCCTCCTGTGAGGGCCTCGCTTCCCAGAGCCATGGAATGTGCCGACACACCCCCACCATGCTGCTCTAGGCTCCTAGCACACCTGCATGCTGGGCCTGCTCCCCAGGGCCCCAGAGTAGCTGTAGACTCTTGGGAGGCAGAGCTGGACATAGCAACACTGTCCCTGAGAGTGGCAGGGCAGGCTTCTCAGCACAAAGCCCGGGGAGAAGCTGGGCAGGGCAGCAGGCAGAGCAGGGTGGTTTCCAGCAGAGGGAGGGGCCATGGGGGGGCTGCCTGGGTGTTCAGTGTCGTTCCTTAAGATGTGTGAATGCTACACTTTATGCTGAAATGATAAATTTCAAAACTTTACAAGGACATTTTAGTGAAGATTCTGACACTGGAGCTGCCCAGCTGAAGCACAGTTGGGCGTCACCCAGCACCCTGCCTCCCAGGCCCTCCCGCACCCACTCTGAGGAAGAGAGGACAACCTGATGTGCAGCACAGCTGTGAGGGAGGCCACACAGAAATGGCATGAGAGAAATAAGCTCAGAAAGCACCACCACAACCCACAGGACAAGAAGACACCACAGCCTCAAAGAATGGGAGATAACAAGAAAGAGCCCGCAGAACCAGAAACACGAAAGCAGAAATGAAGACCCTTTTGGCCGTGAAGTTCCAGTGCCTCCCATAGCAAAAAGCCAGAAGAAAGAAGGAAAGACAACTAAAGGACCGTTCAGTGGGGTGGGCAGAGGAACAGAGGAACAGAGAGAGAGAGATACAAGGAGTGGCTTCTGAGAAGCCCAGGACAGGAGTGGCCAGGTGGCAGGGCCACTGGGCTCATGTCACTGTGAACCTTCTGAGTGTTCAAATCAAAGAAAAGGCCAGGCGCAGTGGTTCATGCCTATAGTCCCAGCTACTCGAGAAAGAGGGTGAGGTGAAAGGATCATCTGAGCCCAGGAGGATGAGGCTATGTGAGCCATGATCATTGTGCCACTGCACTCCAGCCCGGGCAACAGAATGAGATCCTCACTCGAAAAAACAAATAAATAGATACAATCAAAGAAAAGACATCTGAGGCTTCTGAGGAAATGTCTGGCAGCTACACCAGATCAGAAATGAGCACAGCATGGAGCCACAAGGATGCAGGGCAAGACAGCCAGCACCACTGTGCAACAGGCATGATGCACTTGAAGACACAGCAGGGCGAGGGGGGGAGGCCATCTTTGGGTGGGCACAGCTCAGAACAGTCCATTCTAGAGAGCCTTTGCAGAAGGCTCATGATGTGAGCAGGGTGTTGGCCAGGAAGTGGGGTCCACACAGGAGGGGCAGGGTGACCCCCAGTCCTGGGAAAGAAGCTCTGATATACATGTGCATGGCAAGGTCAAGCGGCAGAGGGTCAAGGTGGGGGAGGTTAGACAGTGGCAGAAGAGGAGGCCACAGAGCCCTGGACACACGTGCTGTCGTAGAGGGCAGCAGAAAATGGGTGATCACAGCAGGGCAGGGACCTTAAAGACCTGCCACAGGCATTTGCAGATACAGCCGGGCTATGACACTGACCACTGCTGCCCATCTACCCTCACGGCATCATGGAGCCCCACAGCTGCAGGCATGCCGGCCTACCTGGCTACAACTCACCTAGGCAGCAGGCCCGCACCTTCTCACATAGAGAACAGCCAAACCGAAGACACTGACAACAGTACACCAGTCCACGTTGGTCCAAGAGCAGGAAGAAAACCAAGGGCAGGATTCCAGGGACCAGCTGAACCCCTGTCCACTTCCAAGGGTTATAGAGGGAGCGGCACCCAGTCTCCCGATTCCTCAATCTGGCAAAAGGTGACCCCAAGTTCAGGCAGCCCTGGATCCACCACGACCGGCCAAAGAGATATTTTTCCACTACACACCAATACCCAGTTCCCACAACCACCGAACCATAATGTCTGAGGGAAGCCAACCAAGCACCAAAGGATACGTGGGGTGCCTTCCGTCCGGCAGACCAGGTAGAGGCAGGCGGCGATCACGTGGGCCATCTTGCGGCCACGTGTCAGGTGCTTGCTCACGGCCATCTTGAAAAAGTTGAAGGCAGTGTCCAAGCAGTGCTGGTTCAGCTGCAGCTGGTTCCCCAAGTGGTGGATGTGCCGCCGTCCTAGGACACACACGGCTCTTAGGAGCGCGGCAGCGCCACGCGGCACCACACGCAGCTAACTTCTAAAAACAAAGAGTGTTCCGTGACCTGTTAGCAATTCAAGGATAAGAACATGGATTTGCCTTTCCTGTGAGTGTCTGCATCCACTTTGTGTGTGTCCAGCTTCCATTTATGAACACGAGCTTGATACCCTGTGATTTTCACGCACCAGGAAGTTCTACCCCACACATGTGCACTGTGGGCTCTGAGCAGACATATGTGCTGTGACACCCTGATATCTGGGTGTCTAGAAAGGGCTCAGCTTGGACTAGTCAGTCAGTATTGCATCCTGACTGCCCTGCCCGCTGTGGTAAGGCCCCTTCTCTAGGTTGTGCCCTGGCCTCATCTCCCTCCCCAAAAGGACAAGGGCCCATTGGCCCACCTCATTCCCAGCAGGGCCTTTTCTATTCAGCCCAGCCCCACTAGCCTGTCCTCCAAGACAGAGAAAGGGCCAGGCTGACCAGCCACCTCCTCTGTTCCCACCACAGGGAAAGGACACAGCAAAGGCACAGACAACACCCAGCAGATGTGAGGGCACTGGGCCCTTTTGGAGACCATGAGACCTTGAAGGGGCCAGGACAGAAGCACCTATGTCTACATACACATTGCCCTGAAGTAAGACCTTCCCGAGAGCTATGGGCCAAAGATGGGATCAAGAAAGGGCAGGCATTGCCCTCAGATGGGAAAAGTATCCAGCCATTGGAGACAGGAAGGCAGAACAGCATCTGAGGGTGTGTGGTGAGGTGGGCAGGCTGACCCCATGCCCCACTCCATCTGCAATGAGGGTATTGTGGGCAGGCAGAGTGCCCCCTCTAGGGGGCACCAAAGGATACAGAGAATACAACAGGTGAGTTAAGACTCAGAAGCCAGCCGGGCTCAGTGGCTCAGCCTGTAATCCCGCGCCTTTGGGAGGCTGAGGTGAGTGGACTGCCTGAGCCCGCGGGTTCGAGACCCGCCTGGGCAGCAACACCTCATCTCTACAATAAATCAAAAAATCAGCCGGGCGTGGTAGCGCACGCCTGTAATTCCGGCTACTCAGAAGGCTGAGGCAGAAGGATCGCCGGAGCCCAGCAGGTCGAGGCTGCGGTGGCCAAGAGCGGCCACTGCACTCCAGTCTGGGCGACAGAGTAAAACTCCAACTCAAAAAAAATAAAAAAAAAGACTCAGAAGCCAGAACAGCCAAGACAACCCCAGAAAATACCAAGAATGGAAAGTCTGCACAACCAGGTCAGGACTTGCTCTAAAGCCACACATAGTAACTGAGGCAACATTGTCCTGACTGAGAACTGACAGACTCACACAGATGAGGACTTGCTCTAAAGCCACACACAGTAACTGAGGCAACACAGTCCTGACTGAGGACAGACAGACTCACACAGATGAGTCTGCCTGTGGGTCAGACCAGATACCACAAAGGGACCCACACGCATTTGGTCACTTGATCATGACAAAGAGGCCAATGCCGAAGAATGGAGGAAAAGTGGTCTTGTGAAACAGTGTGGAAATATTAACTCCAACCCTTACTTTACACTATGCAGAAAAAAATTGATCTGAGGTGTATCACAAACTTAAATGTGAAAAAAAACACAACAGTTTCCAGATGAAAACATGGGACAGTGTCTTCAGATCTTGGTAGTTAAGAATTTCTTAAACACGCTACAAAAAGCCTCATCCAGAAAAAGCTAATATATTAGGCCTTCATTAAAATCAAAATTCAAAAACTTCTGCTCAACAAAAGACAATATTTAGAGAGTGAAAAGACAAGCTATAGACTTGGGAGAAGAATTCAAAATATGTATCTCTAACAAAGGACTTAAATCCATAATATATACTTTCTACAAATTAATTTTAAAAAGGTAACTCAATTGTAAAAAAAAAGAAACAAAGGTACAGAAGACACAAACAGGCACTCACACATAGAGGATTTCCAATGACCAAAGAGCTCAAACAAAGGTTGTCAACATAATTACTCACCAGGGAAAGCCAATTAAAATCACAGTGAGTACTCTACACACCCACCAGAAAGACTAAAACTGGAAAGACTGGCAGATCCCAAGTATGAACACAGCTATGGGGCTATTGGAAATCTTTGAACCTTCCTGTTAATTTTGCTGTGAACCTAAAACCATGCTGGAAAAATAAAGTCCTTTACAAAAGTACACTCTAGACTGTGCACAGTGGCTCACACCTATAATCCCAGTGTTTGGGAGGCCGAGGAGGTAGGATTGTGTGAGGCCAGGAGTTCAAGACCAGCTGGGCAACATAGCAACACATAAAAAATTAGCTGGACGTGGTGGTGCACATCTGTAGTTCCAGCTACTTGCAAGGCTGAGGCAGGAGGATTGCTTGAACCCGAGTTGGAGGCTGCAGTGAACCGTAATTGTGCCACTGTACTCCAACCTGAGCTACAGAGCCAGACTGTATCTCTAAAAATAAAATAAAATAACTCTAATACTACGCTTCCAGGGACCACCTACAGCTCAGCACCAGCAAGACTCCTAGAGCGTGTGGGGCCTGAAAACGAGGTTGCTCCCTCCCAGGTGAGCACTGGTGCTAAGTTGCTGCAGTTCACATTTGCCACTGATGATGGTCCTTCTCATCCTCTGGGGACGTAGGAAGGAGGGAGAGGACGTGGTCTGCGTGGTTTCCCTTATTGGAAAAAAAAAGGACATTCTGTGTGGTTCCTGTGCTAGGGAGCAGAGAGCCATGCCGAGCAAACCAGCCACAAGAGACTTCCAAGGGGCTAGGCCCAACCCCGCAGAGGCAACAAGAGTGCGTTTGGGGTCTGCACACTCTATGCTCATCACTGTACACATGTTACACCAGGAAAAACAGACCAGCAGAGTAGAAGGACTTCTGGGAAATGTGACCCAAGACAAGGGCTCAGCAGCCAATGGGAAATGCGCCAGCCTAGCAGAACCACAGACAAGAGAAAAATGAAACTCCAAAGGTCTGAGTTGGGTTTTTTTTGTTTGTTTGTTTGTTTTTTGAGTTGGAGTCTCCAGCATCGACCTGCTGGACTCTAGCGATCCTTCCACCTCAGCCTCCAAGTAGCCAGAACTACAGGCATGAGCTACCACGCCCGGCTAATTTTTGATTTACTGTAGAGACAAGGTCTCGCCAAGTTGCCTGGGCTGGTTTTGAACTTGCGGGCTCAGACAATCCACCCACCTCAGCCTCCCAAAGTGCTGGGATTACAGGCTGAGCCACTGAGCTCGGCCAGTCTGAGATTTTAAAAAGAGAGACCAAAACTCAGACTGGCCTTTACCGCCCCTTGCCAGCAGACCCTGAATAGTGTCCTCACCCTTTGGGGGACACCTGTTTCCAGCATCCTGGAGGGGAGACAAATCCACATTCAAACAAGCAGGAGGTCAGGGTTTCTCTCTCTCAACACAATATGGGCAGGCACCCAGCAAAAGCCAAGAGGGCCCCTGACAGAGTATAAGCAGGGACGAGCAGATGGAGCAGTGTCCTCAGGGATGGGTACGGTCAAGGCAGAAGGGCCCACAAACTTACTTCCCTCTTTCTTGTTTTCTGAGAAAGGCACTCAAGACTCCCTACAAATAGTAACAGCCAGAAGCTAAATTCAGGGATTTTAACCAAACCCAATAGGCAGGAGGGGTGGGTCATGGTGACTCAGTGGGCTAAGCATTCCAGTGAACCTTGGGCTGATTTCCCCCCAGCACCCACAGAGCTTGGTTTTGACCCACAGGATGTGAAACTTCCAGATCATGGGGATGGGGGAGAGAAGGAAAACGGGAAGAATAAGGAAACTAAAAAGAAGCATAACTCAGGATTAAATACACAAAGGGCAGTAAAGGGTTTTTTTTTTAATTTTTAAAAAAAACTTGTTACAAAATATGAAATAAGAAGCAGGAAAAACCAACACATAAAAAACACCCCAATTGTGAAGGGTCAGAATCCCCCCCCGTGTCTCTAGAAATGTCTGGAAAATACACTAGGATCTGCCCCATAGATACCCTTCCACTACAACATATGATGACAGCAAGGAAATGACACTGGCACAAACACACTGGGGCAGAGAGAAAAGGAAGTCACCAGGACAGGCTAGACTGACCGCCTCCCTTGGCCCCCGCACTCTTCCCGGCAAGGGCAGCACCTGACCAGGTGGTGGGAAAGTCCAACAGCAGGCAGTGAGATGTGGCCCCTGCTGCAGTGCCCGGGCTGCCAGTGGTCGACCCTGGACGAGGGTCCAAGTGGAAAGGTCTGCTGAGAGCCCCAGGACCACCTACACCCAGTTAAGACTCACCCAGGGGTGTGGGGACAGCTCCCCATGCTTGGGTCACAGGGCCCGCCCGGCCATGTACTTCACTGACACCCAGCCCTATGGAGCTGGCAGGTAGACTCCCTCTCTGCTATTGGTTTCGGGTGTCACTGCTGTGAACATGCCTCCACTAACACCACTGCTCACCATCAGAAGACAGGTCATAGGACCTTGGAGCAATAGAAACTGTATTCTCCAGGGGCAGCAAGGGTCCCACGGGAGGAGAAGAAAAGGTCCAGCAGCCCCAGGTGCAGCGAGCAGAGCTGGGCTAATGCTGGGCAGGTCTGAAAGTCAGAGGTGACTTAGCAGAGTGGGGTCAGGCCACGTCACAGAGAAGTTTATATCTGTGTATGTCCATAACAGAGTCTTATAACAGGCAAAACAAAAACCCAACAAGACTATGGGTGGAAACACAAATCCAAGGCCACTGTGACAGACAGTACAAGCAGGACAAAACTGATGGGGGGGGAGTCCAACCCAACAAAACACACAGAACACTGCACCACTTCCTGGAAGAAGCATTCCTATCAAGTGTCCAACACACACATGTGTTACAGAACAGACCACCACCAGGCCAGGAAGCACGACCCAACACACTTCGAAAGCTGAAATCACAAGGCAGATGAGAGGGATGAGCCGGAAATCAGTCAGGAAGGAGCCTAATCTGAGAGTAAGTACCCAGGGCCAAAGGAATAAGCACAATGGAAATTTAAAGACCCACCATACCAGGAATGGTAATAACAGATGTTCCTGGGAGTTTGCCGAGCAGTTCACCAGCCAGCCTGGACAAGGTATAGATCACGTCCATGGGTGACAGCAGACCCAAGGGGAGGAGGGTGGTAGGGTCCCAACCGCCTGGAAGTGGCCCCAGAGAACGGCCAGGGTGATGTGCTGCCCACTGGAGACACACTCCCTGGTCCAGCAGACAAAGACAGCAGGACCTGGGGCTGCACCCCACCAGGAGGGCCTCCTCAGGGCTGTAATTCCTGAAAGTGTGTAGGAGGAAACAGCCAAGGTGACCCAGCACAGAGTATCCCTGCCTGAACAGACCCACAGCTAACAACACACACACAGTGGGAGACCAATGCTTCACTGTGGTCAGGGACAAGACATGGATGTCTCCCCACCACTGTTGTTCTACATGGCACTGCAGGTTCTAGCCAGGGTCACCAGTCAAGAAAAAAAAATAGACAACTAGATTGGAAAGAAAAGGAAAGCTGTGTCTATTCACAGATGATAGGATCTTATTCAGGAAATTCTATGAAATCTACTAAAAAACTATTAGGATTAAAAAATGAGATCAGGACTTAGCCTGTAATCCCAGCACTTTGGGAGGCTGAGGTGAGTAGATTGCCTGAGCCCGCGAGTTTGAAATCAGTCGGGCAACTTGGCGAGAACTTGTCTCTAAAATAAATTTTTAAAAAATTAGCCAGGCATGGTAGCGCATGCCTATAGTTCCGGCTCCTTGGAAGGCTGAGACTGAGGGATCACCAGAGCCCAGCAGGTCCATACAGGGGTGGCCGTGAGCCACTGCACTCCAGCCTGGGCAATGAAGTGAGACTCCAACTCAAAAAAAAAAACAACAAAAAGCATGAGGTAGTTTAACAAATATTAGCGTGGAAAGATATCTCAGACATATAAAAATATAAGAGTTCAGCAAGGTTGCAGTATATGAGATGAATATACAAATATCAACTGGGAATATGTTTAACAAAAGAAGTGTAAAACTTATACTTTGAAAACTACTAAAATAGTATAAATAAATTAAAGAAGACTTAAATCAATGGAAAGACATCCTGTGTTCAGGGATCAGAAGACTTAATATTGCTTAGATGACAGTACTCCCCAAAATGATCAACAGATTAATGTAATCCCCATCAAAATTCCAGCTGATTTCTTTGCAGAAAGTGACAAGCTGATACCAAAATTCATACTGATATTGAATAGACTCAGAACAGGCAACATAACACTCTTGATTAAAAAGAACAATGTTAAGCTGGGCTCGGTGGCTCAGCCTATAATCCCGCGCCTTTGGAAGGCTGAGGTGAGTGGATTGCCTGAGCCTGCGGGTTCAAGACCTGCCTGGGCAGCGAGACCTCATCTCTACAATAAATCAAAAAATCAGCCGGGCGTGGTAGCGCATGCCTGTAATTCCGGCTACTTGGAAGGCTGAGGCGGAAGAATCGCCGGAGCCCAGCAGGTCGAGGCTGCGGTGGCCGGGAGCAAGCCACTGCACTCCAGTCTGGGCGACAGAGTGAGACTCCAACTCAAAAAAAAAAAAAAAAAGAGAACAATGTTAGAGGACTCATACTTCCTAATATCAAAACTTACTGCAAAGCTACAGTAACCTAAACAGTGTGGTGCTAGCAAAAGGACAGTCATATAGACAAATGACAAAGAATTGGGAATCTAGAAGTAAACCTCTACACTTTTGTTGAATTGATTTTCAACAAAGGCATCAAGGTCAGGCACAGTGGCTTATGCTTGTAATCTCACACTTTGAGAGGCCAAGGAGGGAGAATTGCCTGAGCTCAGAAGTTTGAGACCAGCAACATAGTGAGACTCTGTCCCTACAAAACAGTAAAAAATTAGCCAGGCATGGTGGAGGCTGCCTGTAGTCCCAACTACTCAGAAGACTGAGTCAGGAGGATCACCTGAGCGTAGGAGTTTGAGGCTGTGGTGAGCCATGATCACACACACCACTGCACTCCAGCCTGGGTGACAGAGTAAGACCCTGACTAAAAACAAAAACAAAAACAAAAAAAACCCATGAGGGCGCGAAGAGGGAGCCAAATGAGAAAATATAGACTTTTCAACAAATGGTCCTGGAAAAACTGAATATTCAGACACAAGAGTGAAGGTGGGCCCTCACCTTATACCATATGCAGAAATTACCTCAATGTAGATCAATACCTAAATGTCAGAGCCAAAACCAAGAATTCAAAAAAATCCTAAGCAAATACCTTCCTGATGTGGACTAGATGAGGCAGTACTCCTTAGTTACAATGCCAAAAGCACATGCAACAAAAGGAGAAGCATAGACACCATCAAAATTTTAAACTGTTGTGCTCCAAAGGACACCATCAAAAAATGAAGAGAAAAAAAAGAAAAGAAAAGAAAATGAAAAGAACACAGGAAATGGGTGAAAATGTTCTGAAAATCAAACATCTGGTAAAAAGCTTGTATCTAAAATATACAAGGCACTTTTTCAGTTCAATAATAAGACAGATAACCTAACAAACTTTTCTCCAATTTGGCATGAACTGGTCCTTTACAACAAGAATGCCACTACAGTATTGCACTGCTGTAAGTGTGTGCTTCTGTCTTCATCTCAACCGAGACCAGGAACCCAGGCTGTGGAACTGGCGGGGTCCACGGACCTTGTCCCAAGAGGCCTGGCAGTCTCTGCAGGATGCCCAGGAGGACCCCAGTGACTGCCGGGGGACTTGAGGACAGCTCCTTCCCAAAGCGTGCCTGTGCAGGCATGTGGGTGACGGGTGGCAGGCTCAGGGCTCTATAGGCCGAGTCTGTGCACCCTTCACCAGGTCACCCTCCAGCTCTGGGACCTGCCCCACCCCCCACCCCACAGTGGTACCCGCAGAGGGAAATACCATTCTGTAGGGTCTGTGCTCTCGACTCTTTTCCTAGATTCACATGGAAGCCGCCACCCAAAGTTGGGGTTTTGCCAGCACCTAGAAACACAAAGAGACAATTAGCCAAAACTTGGCAGAGAGGGTCTGCACCTATCATCCTTTCTTATATCCAAAGACGCAAAGTGAGACCAAGTCAGGGCAGCGTTCCTACGGGAAGCAGTGGCAAGGTGAGCCCCTGTACATCACTCACCTGGGCCCAGGAATCCCTGGGCAGGAAGTCCCTCTCCCTCTGCCCAGTCACAGGGTGAGGATACCCCTGAGCATGGGTTGGCCTCCATCATGCCCGGGCCACCCACCCAGCAAACCACTGCCCAGTGGCCATGGGAATGTGACCATGGGAACACACCCATCTCCCTCTGGGCTGCAGGCTCCTGGCGGGCAGACCATCTGCATGTCCCAGTCCCAATAGCTGGCAGGTCAGCAAGAGGTCTGCACCTCTGGCTATCCGTGCATGATGTGGCCACAGCCAGACAGGCAGGAGCAGACATGTTGCTCCAGAGCCCCACCTGCTGAGAGTCAGTCCAGGATGTCCCTGCATTCTCCCCTGCAGGGCTTCAGGGCTGGGGCCCAGGCCCTGGTCCCTTTGGAGACTCCAAGTGGATATACCGATCATTCACAGGCTTACGAGCCTCACCCTGAAGCCTGGTCTTTCAAGGACTGCATGCTGGGCAAGAGCACAAGGGTGTACACAAAGGCTGTGAAGCAGAACATGCTCCCATCTCGAGGGTCAGCCCTCAAGGGCCAGCATAGGGGCCAGCACATCTGTGATGAAAGATAGATCGAGGACCAATGGGACCAGCACATCTGTGATGAAAGACAGATCAAGGACTGATGGCTTAGACAGTGAGGGGACACACCCACAGCCTCTGCCATGTGGGGACAGATGCAGGGCCTTCAGAGGGACTGGGAAGAATGAAAGGCCATGCAGTGACAGGGACCCATGGGACCCATTGACCTGTGGAGCCCATGGCAGAAGCCTGGGACAGGCCTTCTGGGGAAAGCACAGGGCCTGCCACTTGCAGTCAGCAGGGGCCTTGGGGTCACCAGCAGAGTGGCCACCAGGGCAGGCCTGCAGAACCAGCACAGCTTCTGGCTTATCTGTGAATGCAACTGAATTCCAAACAAACACTACTGAAATTATTTAACAACCTCACTGAGATGACTTTAACGTTCAGCTGGAAGCAAAAAGGAACCACACTCAGTAGCCAAGAAAACCAGAAGCAGCGAGTATGCCTGGCCCCGAAGCTCAGCACTGCACATGGCAGGCAGCGCTCAGTTCTCTAGTCATGCAAAAGCAGAACCAGGGCCTTCCGCAGGCTGAGGTTCAGAGCTGGTCTCCTGGTAGGTAATGTGGCACTGGGCCCGCCAGGTTAGCAGGGGCACAGGCGTTCTCCAACAGAGGCAGTGCTGGGATGGGGCCGTGCCTGGGACGGGAGGGCTGTCACGACTAGGGTTGCATGGTTTTCCATGGCTGCCATGACAAACTGCCATAAAACTTGTGGCTTCCAAGAAGATGGAGCAGGTCCCAGTGGTGTGACCTCGTGGGAGCTGGAGAAGACCAGACAGGGGCATGTTGGGGTCCCTGCTGACACACCAATCCAGGGGAGAGGCCAGGAGCAACACAGAGTCCAGGGGAGGCCTGTCCAGGAGCAAGGGGGCTTCAAACCAGACCACTGCGTCAACTCTGAACTCTTCAGGAACCCAAGTGGCCCTGTGCTGAGATCATGGCATCTGCATTTCCTGCCCTCCTGCCAGAGTTCTTTGTTTTGTGAGTGGTTTTAAGCTTCAGAATTTTATATTTTAAATCTTGCAGATGAAAAAAGCCCACTGAAGACCAGTCACTGGTGGTCTTGACCAGGACAGCTGCCCCCGGCATACTGGTCTCCAGCACACACTCCCCATCTACAACTTTCATTTTAGAACCACCATGTTGTTCGAATCAATTATGGGTGTATGCTTTTACTAGATAATTCATATAATATTACATTGGAAAAAGATGAAAAACCTCTGAAGCCCAGCTTAGACAGAGGGCAGCCAGGCATGCCTCAGGCAGAGTAGGGCCACAAAGAGACGCCACATCCCATCACAGGTGGTACCCCGATCCTAGCTGGAGTGAATGTCATCACTTCATGCCCCACCACCAAGTAACCCCTTGTTCTCCCACCCACCTGTATGTCCCCTACCCTACCCTCCACTTCCAACCCCCAAACCTTCAGGACTCCCACTTCCTATCCCTGCACTGTTCTTCCGTCCTCCCACGCCCCAGGTGCCCTTCGGGGGGTTACTCCACCTGCACCTGCTCTGAAGCAGGCTCCTGACTTCTGCTGTCCCATGTATGCACACACACGTATGTACACAGCAGAAAACACATGTGGACAGTGCAAAGGGGCCACTCATTAAATCCCAGAACGCTAACCAGGGATGGGCTCACCGAAGCGTGGAGATTAGCCTACATCTCACCTCTGGCTGCACCTGCACATGGATCCTGCCCTTAGATACCCTCTGCTTCTAAAGACATTTCCTATTTTCCGTAACACATTTCCATGATTAAAAAAAACATAACTGGACCTCACTGCAGAAGTACCAGGTCCTGCAGGCCCTGGCTGAGACTGCCCCCTTGTGGACAGCGGGGAGGAGTCGGCCAGTCCACAGACCAGAGATGAAGTCTTTGAGGAACAAAAGGCACCAAGGCCTGAGCCCAGCACCTGCAGAGGTGCATCATGTGCCAGCCACCTTGCTGGTCTGTCCCATTACAAAGTCAGCAACATCTACACCCGGACCAGAGAGAATAGTGGGCCAAGGAGCTGTGACACCCTGGAAAGACCTGCACAGCACAGCACAGCACCGCCTCCATCTCCTTCAAGGATTCTCTGTAATAACTGTGTGCCAATTACTTAGCTGAGGGGCTTCTGCGGCTGCTGCAAACCTCCTGTGGGGGTTCCCTCCAGAAGGCCCAGCTGAGTGTGTAGCATAGAGAGGAATCCCACAGCCCTACAGGCTCAGCTCATCAGACAGAAGCACCCAAAGGGACTGGATGAAGCCACAGTGTATCCCCGAGTGTGGAGGCCGAGGACTAGGGAACACTGGGGCGTGCCATGCCAGTGGGGCCTGCAGAGAATCACAGCAGGGCCAGATGCAGGCAGCAGGGCTCAGAGCGTGTGCACAGACATACACGGAAGCCTGTTCTCACAGAACCTGTTGGTACGATGAGGACTGGATCACGGAAGCCAGGGTGTAGAGCACGGCAGGCATGGCATCAAGTCACTTGGCTGCCTCTAGGACAGAATTCAGCCGACAATTCCCGAGGGTAGGTCCCTTCAGCCAAAACTTGGGGCTCTGAAGGCCACAGGACAGAAACAGAGACCCAGAGCCTCCACCCTCAGGACCAGAGACCAACCAGGCCCATGCTCAGACTCCACATGGCACTGCGGGCAGAAGCCAGATGCCATGGCCTTCCCTAGGGTAGAGGGAGATCCCCAGCAGGCAAGGGCATCTCCACCTCCTAGGTCCTCTCCGTGGTCAGAGCAACAAGCCTTCCCCAAGTCCAGCCCTAGGTGACATGAGGGCATCAGTCACAGAATGGGGCCAACCACACCATCACTCATAACCGGACACCAGCACTGGCACCTTGACTTGGAGGACTAAGTGTGCAGTCACTGAAAGTTCTGATCAAGGGAACCATGAGAAATGCTCTCCACCCCACGAGTTCTGGGAACACGGGGAAGGTCTGCTGCTCCCAGCATAGGAGGAGGGACCCAGAGGAAGTGGGAGACCTGGGCTACCTGGTATGGGAGTTCCTGTGGCTCCTAGGTGCCCAGGCTCTTGCCCTACACACTGGGGGGTGACTACAACAGTTCCCGGGGGCAGAATGTGCGCCATCACCAGCTCCTACTGGTGGAGGAAAGACTCAGGGGACACTTGGCCCAGGACACTGAAGTGCACATGCTGCTAGGGAGCCCTGCTTGGCCCCAAAACCCAGACGCCATGGGGCTATGACCTCCTCAGCCCATGGAACATAGTCCTCAGACATTGCCCTCCTCTCCAAACCGTCCATGTTCGGAAGGGCCTGGAACATGGGGAACCTGGTGTGGCTTCCCAACAGGGTCCAGTGTCTAAGATCAGGACTCTCCTGCAGTGACACAGTCCCAAGACAACTACCAAGGGCAGACCACAAGCAAGGACAGACAGTGGCCCTGGGTCTTAGGAACCAGTGACTGAGAGAGAAACCTCGGTGTTCAGTATGAAGCAAGAGCAAGGCATGTGGAGCACAGGGCACCGGTACTTGCACATGTGCCAGGATAAATGAGAAGTCACAAAAGTGTCCCACTCAGTGTGACTGCTGCTGTGATGGGGCAAGAAATGCCAGTGGGCACCCATGGAGTCTGCCTGGGAGACAGAGCAGCTCCCCAATGGTCAACGCCTCCTCTCCTCCCCACTCTGCCCCAGGGGCTGAGAACCCACACCCCCACGGTACAGCCTCAGGAGCATGACAGTTGGCAGCTGGGAGGCCTCTCCCTGGAGAGCACGCTGGGCAGAGCAGCATCTTGGTGCCACCTACCAGTGCTGGCTCTGAACTGTGCTCATGACACCTGCTCACTACTGCCCTCCCTCCACCCAGGGGCCTAATGAGGACAAAGTGTTGCCGCTGGGCCCCAGGTGTACCTGGATAGCGCCTCCCCAGGGAAGCTCTAAGTGTCGCTACTGTAGCAACTTGTTTTATTACTGTTATTCCCATCCCAACAGGCATCCAAGCAAGTCTTGGCAACGTGTGATGAAGCTGCAGCATGACCCAAGGCCTCTGCCCAGAAGCCCTAAAAGACAGCCAGATATCAAGGTAGCATCGCTTATGGAAGAATCGGGAAGATCAGAGGGAGCAGCAGGGGTGAGAATTCTGTGAAAGTCAAAGCCAGTTCTTTGAAATAATCGATAAAACAGATATACTTCTAATAAGCGACAAAGAGAAAGCAAGAAGACAAAACCGCAACATCGAGAGGGAAAGGGTGTCACAAGAGACCCTGCCAACATCAGGAGGGTGAGGGGAGGCCTTGAGCAGCACCACATGCACAAATCCAGAAGAGTCAGTTCCTCAGACTCCCAAAACTCACCCAAGGTGAGACAGACAGTCTAAGATACAACTGTCAACTCAACTGTGAAAGAAGCTAAAGCCACCGCTAAGAACCTTCCAATAAAGAAGCCTCCACACCCAGATGGCTACATTGGTGAATTCTCCTAGATACTTCAGAAAGAACTAACACTAATTCCAGAAGATGGCAGAGGAGATACTTCCCAACCTATTCTATAAGGTATATTTCCTGATTTCCAAACCAGACATCACAAGAAAACTGTGATGTCCCACATGAACACAAACAAAAATCCTCAACAAAATACTAGCAAATTTGACCCAGCAATACATACAAAGAATAATGCCCAAAACCAAGTGGGTTTACCCCAGAAACACAAGCCAGGTTCAACCTTCAAAAATCAGCCACATCATCAGATTAAAGAAGAAAAATATAGGGTCGTATCAGTTGATACAGAAACAGCACCTGACAAAATGCAACATCCACTCATGATAAATACTCTTAGCAAACTAGGACTAGAAAGAGAGCATCCTTGACTTCACAACATCACTGATGGTCAGGGACTGAGTGATTCTCCTTGAGACTGGAAACAATGCAAAAATGCTCTAAGACAAAAATGAAAGGAAAAAAAAAGGAAGAAATAAATAAAACAGTCCTTATTTATACACAACATGATTGTCTAAGTAGAAAATCTCAGGGAGTCTATAAAAAACTCCTAGAACTAACAAGTTTAGCAAAGTCACAGGAAACAGGCCAACATACAGAAATCAATCATATTTCTAAATATAAACAAGGAATGTTGAAAATGAATTTTAAAAAAATACCATTTACAATGATTCCAAATAGATCTCAGGTAAATATCTAAAAAATATACAGGGGCTGTGTGCTGAAAATTTCCACACACGGATAAATTATACCAAAGAAAACCTAAATGAACTCAGCGACACACTGTGTTCACAGATTAGAAGACTCAACATGTTAAAAGCATCAACCCTCCCCAACTTTATCGAGAGATTGAATGCAATTCCAATCAAAACCCCAGCAAGACATTAGTACAGGCTGAACATTCCAAATCTGAACATTGAAAACAGAAACGCTCCAAAATCTGACACTCTGAACACAGACATGATGCTCAAAAGGAATGATCATCAGAGCATCTCAGATTTCAGATTCTCAAGTTAGAGATGCTCAGCCAATAAGTATAATGTAAATATCCCAAGATCCAAACACTTCTCATCCTAAGCATTTCAGATAAGACACCCTCAACCTGTAGATACACACAAATTTACTCAAAAGTTAAAAAGGGAAAGTAAGTACAATCACTACAACCATTCTGAAAAGGAAGAATGCTGAAGACTCACAGCACCTGATTTCAAGACAGTATAAAATGTACAGTCAAGAAGACAGTGTGGCGTTAACAAAGAAAACATCATCCTGATATACAGCACAGAACAGAGAGCCCAGAAACAGATCCACAGACATGGCCCAGCAGCCCTCATCAAGGAGCAAAGGCAATTCAACAGGGAACGGGCAGTCTTCCAACAAAGGGTGTTAAGACAACAGGACATCCACGTGCCAAAGACGAACCTCAACCTATTCATCACACCTATATATACATCACATACAAAACTCAATATGGGCCACAGACCTAAACAGAAGACATTTAAAAAGCTTTGAGAAGAAAAACATCATGACTTGGGGTTATGTAAAGACTTCTCAGGCATGACACCAAAAGTACAATTTATGAAAGAAAAAAATGAATACACTAGACTGCATCAACATGCAGAACTTCTATTCAAAATTTAAAACTTCTGCTCAGCAAATCACACACACAACAGAGGACTTGCAGCTAGAAGACAAAAAGAACTCCCAAAACTTAACCAGAAGAAAACCACCCAAGGCCAGACACGGTGGCTCAAGCCTGTAATTCTAGTACTTTGGAAGGCCGAGACAAGAGGATTGCCTGAACTCAGGGGTTTGAGACGTCTCCACAATAAATCAAAAAATTAGTCAGGCATGGTGGTGAACGCCTGTAGTTTCAGCTCCTTGGAAGTCTGAGGCGGAAGGATCACCTGAGCCCAGCAGGTCAAGGCTGTGGTGACCGTGAGCATGCCACAGCACTCCAGCCTGAGCGACAGAGTGAGACTCCAAACCACCCAAGTAAAAGATACTGAACAGGCATTTTGGCAGAGAGGACTCAGCAGACAGGTTTTAAGAGACGTTTAACACCACTAGCAGGTAGGGAAATACCAAGTGACACAAGGACAAGAGGCTGCACACCTGCAGGGATAACTAAAAGAAAAAACGCTGACAACACCAAGTGCTGGTGAAGATGTGGTGAGAACGCACAATGGCCACATTGAAAAACTGTGTGGCCGGGCTCAGTGGCTCAGCCTGTAATCCCAGCACTTTGGGAGGCCAAGGTGAGCAGTTGCCCACGGGTTCGAGACCAGCCTGGGCAACTTGGCGAGACCTCGTCTCTACAATAAATCAAAAATTAGCCAGGCATGGTAGTGTGCACCTGTAACTCCAGCTACCTGGAAGGCCAAGGCGGAAGGATTGCTGGAGCCCAGCAGGTAGAGGCAGCTACCTGTGTGTGGCCGTGTGTGCCACTGCACTCCACCCTGGGTGACGAAGTGAGACTCTGACTCAAAAAAGAAAGAAAGAAAAGTGTGTGGTCGGGCATGGTAGCTCACATCTATAATCCCAGCACTTTGAGAGGCCAAGGTGAGTACTGCCTGAGCCGACAAGTTCAAGACCAGCCTGGGCAATTTGGTGAGACATCATCTCTACAATAACTCAAAAAATTAGCCGGGCATGGTGGTGCATGCCTGTAGTTCCAGTCACTTGGAAGGCTGAGGTGGAAGGATCACCCGAGCCCAGCAGGTCGAGGCTGCAGTGGCCATGAGCATGCCACTGCAGTCCAGCCTGGGTGACAGAATGAGATTCCAACTAAGAAAAGAAAGAAAGAAAGAAAGAAAAACAATGTGTGACAATTTCCCATAAACACACACTGAACTTTCCTTGAGAAATTAAAACGTGTGTCCACACAAAAAGCCACACGTGAATGCTTTCAGCAGCTCTATTTACAACCGCTGAAACTGGCCACAACCACTCTGGACCACGAGTCCCGTAAAATAAAAAGTCCAGCGACTGCATCTGCAGCAACCTGGGTGCCTGAGAGGAAGAGCCAGTCCCCAAAGACCACCAACAATCTGAGTCCATGCCCTGGAAACTCCAAAGAAACAAAACTACTGGCACAGAGACAATAAAGAGATAGCCTGGGGGGGCGCGATGGGACTTTCCTTTGCCCGATCCACCGACGTGTCAGAAGGCGCAGGACTGTACCCCCAAGTCAGCAAATGACACCGTGCGTCTGGTTCAAAGAGGGGGGCCGACAGGGGTCTCCTCGCCCCCTTCTGTTAAGCCCCATCGCGAAGCGAAGCTGCCCGCACCCCGGCCCGGACGCACCGTCCAGCGACACGAACTGGCCCACGGCTGCCGA